GAGCCACCCAGTCGCCCCGTATCTGATTATTTCTTGATCTTTAAGGTCAAGAAAGGTTAAGCTCTTCTAGAAATTTCAACAGTTTTGATTTTAAAATATCATTTGTTAGTTTTACCTTTCTAGAACTTTGGGGATAAAAGGGACAATAAAGTTTCTGTTTTATTTGAAGATTCTACATAGATCCTTAAGTATAGAAATTGTAAGCTCCTCCTTTCAGGTAGAAAAAAACAAAATCCCGTTTGTTTTTTTAAAATCAATTAAAGTATTATCCTTTTAGCAGAATAAAGCATTTGTCCCAATAAGAAAAAGTGTAAGAAAAGTCTATTACTGAAACATATTTAAAATTTTATCACTTGGGCAATAGAATGAATCCACTTGTAGGATGCCTGGGAGGCTTAGTTGGCTAAGTGTCTGCCTTTGGCTCAGGTCATGATCCCAGGGTTCTAGGATAGAGCCCCACGTCGGGCTCCCTGTGGAAGCCTGCTTCTCCCTCTCCCTCTGCAGCCCCCCACTGCTTATTCTCTCTCTCTCTCAAATAAATAAATAAAATCTTAAAAAAGAAAAAAAGAATGAATCTACTTGTAAATGTTTAAGTGAATCTTTAGGCAGGATTCTGAACTTTGCCCTTTCTTTACAGTTTTTCCTGGATTTTGATACTTATAGACAAAGGAAGTTTCAGTTACCTATTGGGCCTCAGGTAAAATTTCCCCAACCGTATTTTTGCATTTTAGATGGAATCCATCCTTGGCCTCACAGACGCTTCCCTGTAACTGATGTAATAAAGGTTTGCAGGTGTACTTGGGAGCCACCAGGTGGCCATCACGGGAAGTCCCAAACCCAAAGCTCTGCATGAGAGTTTTGATATAGTTATGATCTTTTTTCCTTCTGTAGAGGCAGATCATTGTATTCAAATAAATCCTTCTGGATTGATGAAATCATATTAAGTAGTGCTCCCTATAATAACAATCGTGGGAAAATCAGTAAGGGCTGTAGTTTTGCACAGTAGATGGCTAGGACATTTACTTTAGCTTCAAAAGTATTATTAGTATGTATTTGTAGTAGTATTTAAGCAGTACTTTTAATAGTATCTTAAAAATAATATTTTTTCAGGTGTTGTCTTGTCTCTAGTTAGTTATTAATTCATTTTCCATCTTTGATTCAAGGAAGTTAGAAGACCCATTTGCTTTCAAAACATGCCGAGATCTTGAACGATCCAAAGGCATATCTACTATCAGGGTATTTTGAATTCTTAAATCTTTAAAGGGATGGCATGTTCTTGTTAAGAGGCAGAGAGTTCTGAAGTTACAATTTATGCAGCACAGAACGTACTTTGATCATTTTAAAAATCAGAACCATGAAAAAATAATACATCAGCATTGGCCAAGGTAATATCAGTCAAGAGGGGGAATGCTAAGAGTCTGAAGAGCTAAAGTAAATGCCCTATGGGATTCACTTTTATTAAGAGGGGGAGTTATTAGATGGGTTTCCTTAGATTGGATTACTGAGGTTGGAGTGGTACTTGACAATTACATGAGAAGTGGACAATGGAAAAATGTCACAGGCAAAATGCAGATAACTAAAAAAAAAAATGCAGGTAACTGTTGTGCATTGTTTTGAAGCAATTAGGTTTGAAGGACAAATTTGATGAGGGATCTTGGTATTATGATTTAAGCTGAGGCTATAGAATAATACAATCACCGTTGCTATCAAATATTGTCAAAGAGGTGATATTATGAATTTTATGTGGAAGTGGAGTAATTCATTCTAAGTAGGTTTTAACATTGTTTAAAATTCTTAAAAACAAATCTTTAAAAAAGATCTAATTATAACTCAGTGTAGTTGGGCATATGCATTTCTTAACGTTTTTATATTGTCAAATAATTAGTAACGTAAACTTATCGGAAGAACAAGACTAGTACATGATTTAGGAAGTTCAGATTAGTAAGACTTTCCACAAATAAATAAATCCAGGTCTTGCAAAAGCTAAAATATTAGCTACCATTATTTTTTTTCCTTGTTGAAAACAGAGAAAACATATTACTGTTTTTAAATCAAAATAGTCAAGTCAGTAGACCTATGGCATATGGAATTAAATATTTTTCTTTTCTTGAATTCTCCTATATTTATATTACAAATTATTAGTTTCTGGTTCTGTGCTCATGGATTGGAAGAACCAATCTTGTTAAAATGTCCATACTACCCAAAGCAATCTACAGATTTAATGTAATCCCCATTAAAATACCAACAGCATTTTTCAGAGAACTAGAACAAATAATCCTAAAATTTGTATGGAACCACAAAAGATCCCAGATTTCAAGTTATACCACATAGCTGTAGTAATCAAAACAGTATGGTACTGTCAAAAGAATAGACACACAGATCAATGGAACAGGATAGAGTCCAGACATAAACCCATGTTTATATGGTTGATTAATTTACGACACAGGAGGCAAGAATATACAATGGGGAAAAGGCAGTCTCTTGAACAAATGATGGTGGGAAAACTGAACAGCTACATGCAAAAAAATGAAACTGGACCACTTTCTTACACCATACACAAAAATAAACTCAAAATGGATGAAAGACCTAAATCTCAGACCTAAACCATAAAACTCCTACAAGAAAATATAGGCAGTAATTTCTCTGATATTGGCTGTAGAAACATTTTTCTTTTTTTTTTCTTTTGTATTTTATTTTATTTTTTAAAGATTTTATTTATTTATTTGAGAGAGAGAATGAGATAGAGAGAGCATGAGAGGGGGGAGGGTCAGAGGGAGAAGCAGACTCCCTGCCGAGCAGGGAGCCCGATGCGGGACTCGATCCCGGGACTCCAGGATCATGACCTGAGCCAAAGGCAGTCGCTTAACCAACAGAGCCACACAGGCGCCCTTTTTTTTTTTTTTTTTTTAAGATTTTATTTATTTATTTGAAAGAGAGAGAGACAGCGAGAGAGGGAACACAAGCAGGGGGCATGGGAGAGGGAGAAGCAGGCTTCCCGCCGAGCAGGGAGCCCGATGTGGGGCTCGATCCCAGAACTCTGGGATCACAACCGGAGACGAAGGCAGATGCTCAATGACTGAGCCACCTAGGCGCCCGAAACATTTTTTTAGATATGTCTCCTCAGGCAAGGGAAACAAAAGCAAAATTAAACTATTAGGACTACACCACAATAACAAGCTTTTGCACAGTGAAGGAAACCATCATCAAAATGAAAAGACAACCTACTGAATGGGAGAAGATATTTGCAAACGATGTATCTATCCAATAAGGGGTTAATATCCAAAATATATAAAGAACTTATAAACTCAACACCAAAAAAATAAATAATCTGATTAAAAAATGGGGAGAGGTTCTATACAGACATACAAAGAAGACATACAAATGGGCAACAGACACATGAAAAGATGATCATCATCACTTATCCTCAAGTACATACAAATCAAAACCACAATGAGAGGGGCGCCTGGGTGGCTCAGTAGGTTAAGTGACTGACCCTTGGTCAGCTTAGGTCATGATCTCGAGGTTGTGGGATCCAGCCCTGTGTCAGGCTCCGCACTGAGCATGGAGTCTGCTTTAGATTCTTCTCCCTCTCTCTGCCCTCCTCCTGTTTGTGCTCTCTCTCTCTAAGTAAAAGAAATAAATCAATCTTAAAAAAAAAAAACTATAATGAGATATCACCTCCCACCTGTCAAAATGGCTAGACTCAAAAAGACAGGAGAAAACAAGCATTGGTGAGGATGTGGAGAAAAAGGAACCCTACTGCACGATTGGTAGGAAGGCAAATTGGTGTAGCCACTGTGGAAAACAGTATGGTGGCTCAGTCGGTTGAGTGTCTGCCTTCAGCTTGGGTCATGATCCCGGAGTCCTGGGATAGAGTCCCACATTGGGCTCCCTGCTGGGTGGAGGGTTTCTGCTTCTCCCTCTCACTCTCCATCTGTGCTCTCTCTCGTTCTCTCTCTCAAAGGAAGAAATAAAATCTTAAAAAAAAAAAAGAAAAACAGTATGGAGTTTCCTTAAAAAATAAGAAATAGAATTACCATATGATCCAGTAATTGCACTACTGGGTATTTACCCAGAGAAAATGAAAATACTTATTCAAAAAGATATATGCACTGCTATGTTTACTGCAGCATTTACAACAGCCAAGATATGGAAGCAATCCAAGTGTCCATCAATAGATGAATAGATAAAGATGTGGTGTATATACACCATGGAATATTACTCAGCCATAAAAAAGCATGAAATTTTGCCATTTGCAACAATACGGATGGACCCAAAGAGTATTATGCTAAGTGAAATAGGTCAGACAGAGAAAGACAAATACCATACTATTTCACTCACATGTGGAATTTATGAAACAAAACAAACAAACAAAAAACCAGACATTTAAATACAGAGAACAAACTGATGGTTGCCAGAGGGGAAGTGGATGGGGGGATGGGTGAAATAGGTGATGGGGATTAAGAGGACACTTATCATAATGAATAATGCATAATGTATAGAATTGCTGAATCATTGTATTGTACACCTGAAGCTAATATAACATGGTATGTCAATTACACTTCAATAAAAAAATATAATTAGGGAGCGTCTGGGTGGCTCAGCTGTTAAGTGTCTGCCTTTGGCTCAGGTCGTGATCCCAGGGTCCTGGAATCGAGCCCCGCATCGGGCTCCCTGCTCAGCAGGAAGCCTGCTTCTCCCTCTGCCACTCCCCCTGCTTGTGTTCCCTCTCTCATAGAATCTCTGTCAAATAAATAAATAAATAAAATCTTTAAAAAAAAAAAGATACTTAGTTCCTATAAGTCAATCAAAATAGAGGCACCTTTAATTTTAAGGTGTTTTATAATGCAATCTATAAATTCTCTCTGGAGGTAGGCAAAGATACACCAATCCATTTGTTTAGAAATTATTTATACCCTGTATTCATTAGAGTTCTTCAGAGAAACAAACCATTGGGAGGTATACATATAGAGAGAGACTTATTATAGGAATTGACTTACACTGTTAGGGAGGCTGTCAAGTCCAAATCTTCGGTGTGGGCCAGAAGGCTTGAGACCCAGGAGAGTGGATGATGCAGATGAAGTCCAAAGAAAGTCTGCTGGTGAATTCCTTCTTGCTCAGGGAGGCTGGTCTTTTTGTTCTGTTCAGTTCTTCAACTGAATGGGTGAGGCCTACCCACATTTCGGAGGGTAATCCAGATTTAAATGTTAATTTCATCCCCAAACACCCTGTAAATTGACACAAAATTAACCATCACATACCCATACATTGAAAATATCTTATCAAACTGTCAGGAAAGCTAGATAACTGTTAGAAGAATTTTTGAGATATGAGTTCCCTCATACCTTGACATTGCTCATTTGCATTTATTTCTATTGAACTTCCCTATTCCTTTTAGTGGAGAATGGAAGAAAGAGCCTTGTACTCAGAACCTCTACAATTTCTTGGGATGTCATGAAGCTCTGAAAAGTCAGAAGCAATCATTCCTACTTCCATCTGCATTCCAAAAACACACGTTCAGTATATTTACAGTTGCTATCAGAGTTTTTTTTTTAAGATTTTATTCATTTATTTGACAGAGAGAGAGCGCGAGAGAGCACAAGCAGGCAGAGCAAGAGGGAGAAGCAGGCTCCCTGCTTAGCAGGGAGCAGGCTCCATCCCAGGACCTTGAGATTATGACCTGAGCCGAAGGCAGACGCTTAACCAGCTGAGCCACCCAGGCGCCCCTCAATTAGAGTTCTTTATTTTCCAAGTCATGAAAAAAGTTTCAATTGTTTCTTTTTTCTTTGTATACATTTCCCTCCCCTTTGATAGAAAATATGCCTGTTTGAATTAGATATAAACTATGGTGTTCACAAATGACAAAAAAAATCTTGTGGCTAATTAATCTCCAATAATTAACAACCCAAAACAAAAACTATCTGATGGGACTTCTGGGATGCTGGTGTGAGTGAAAACAATTTGGAAAAAAAAAAAAAAAAAGAATAAAATCAGAGGATTCACACATCCCAATTTCAGAACTTACTACAAAGCAACGACAGTGTGGTTGTGGCATAAAGAAAAACATACAGATCAATAAAGTGAGAGTCCAGAGCAAACGCTTGTATTTATAGTTATCTGATTTTCAACAAGGGTACCAAGATAATTCAATGGGGGGGGAAAGAACAGGCTTTTCAGTAAAATGGTGCTGGAACAACTAGATATCCACATGCAAAAGAATGAAGTTGGGGGCGCCTGGGTGGCTCAGTTGGTTAAGCGATTGCCTTCGGCTCAGGTCATGATCCTGGAGTCCCAAGATCGAGTCCCGCATCGGGCTCCCTGCTCGGCAGGGAGTCTGCTTCTCCCTCTGACCTTCCCCCCTCTCATGTGCTCTCTCTCTCTCACTCTCTCAAATAAATGAATAAATAAAATCTTAAAAAAAAAAAAGAATGAAGTTGGACTCTTATCGTATGCAAAAATCACCTCAAAATGGTCATAGACTTAAATGTAAGGGCTACAACTATGAAATTCTTAGATAGAAACATAATAAGTCTTTATTACTTTAGGTTAGGCAAAGCCTTTTTTCTTTTTTGGATGAGATTTACATTTATTTTTTTTAATTTTTTTTTATTAACATATAATGTATTATTTGTTTCAGGGGTACAGGTCTGTGATTCATCAGTCTTACACAATTCACAGTGCTCACCATAGCACATATCCTCCCCAATGTCTATCACCCAGCCACCCCATCCCTCCCACCCCCCACCACTCCAGCAACCCTCAGTTTGTTTCCTGAGATTAAGAGTCTCTTACTGTTTGTCTCCCTCTCTGGTTTTGTCTTGTTTCATTTTTCCCTCCCTTCCCCTATGATCCTCTGTCTTGTTTCTCAAATTCCTCTTAACAGTGAGATCATACGATACTTGTCTTTCTCTGATTGACTTATTTTGCTTAGCATAATACCCTCTAGTTCCAGCCACATCATTGCAAATGGCAAGATTTCATTTTTTTTGATGGCTGCATAATATTCCATTGTGTATATATGTCACATCTTCTTTATCCATTCATCTGTTGATGGACATCTAGGCTCTTTCCATAGTCTGGCTATTGTGGACATTGCTGCTATAAATATTGGGGTGCAGGTGCCCCTTTGGATCACTACATTTGTATCTTTGGGGTAAAGACCCAGTAGTGTAATTGCTGGGTCATAGGGTAGCTCTATTTTCAACTTTCTGAGAACCTCCATACTGTTTTCCAGAGTGGCTGCACCAGCTAGGCAAAGGCTTCTTAAATGTGACATCAAAAGCACAAGTGAAAAGAAAAAAAAAATAAATTAGACTTCATCAAAATTAAAACCTTTTGCTTTTCAAAGGATACCATCAGGAAAGTGAAAAGAAAATCCAAAGAATGGGAGAAACTACTTGCTAATCATATATCTGATCAACATAGGTAACCATCAGAGAAACACCAAATACAATGAGATACCACTTTATACCACTAGGATTGCCAAAAAGTAATAAGGGTTGGGGAGGATATGCAGAAATTGGAACCCTCATACACTGCAGATGGAAATGTAAATGGTGCACCCACTTTAGAAAACAGTTTGGCAGTTCCTCAAAAAAGTTAAACATAGAGTTACCATATGACCCAGCAATTCCACTCCTTGGCATATTCCCAAGAGAAATGAAAACACATGTCTACACAAAAATTTGTATATAAATGTTCATAGCATCATTATTCATAATAGCCCAAAAGTGGAAACAACCCAAATGCTCATTGACTGATGAATGAATAAACAAAATGTGGTATATCCACACAATGGAATACCATTTGGTTATAAAAAGAAATAAAGTACTGATATGTGTGTTACAATATGGATGAACCCTGAAAACATTATGTTAAGAGAAAGAAACCAGTCATATACCACATATTGTATGATTCCATTTATATGAAACGTTCAGATTAGGGAAATCTATATATAAAGTAGATTAGCGGTTGCCTAGGATTTGGGATTAGGGGTGGGGGTTCAGCTGTTGGGGAAAAAAGGGGAATGACTGCTAATGAGTATGGGGTTTCTTTTTGGGGTGATAAACATGTTCTAAAAGTGTGGTGATGGCTGCACAACTCTGGCTATACTAAAACCTACTCTATTTTATGCTTTAAATGAAGTTAATGGTATGTGAATTACCTCTCAATAAAGCTGCTTAAAAAGATTTCCACAAATACATGCGGTGCCTGGGTGGCTCAGTCAGTTAAGTGTCCAACTTTTGAGCCCAGCTCAGGTCTTGATCTCAGGGTTGGGAGTTCAAGCCCCATGTTGGGCTCCACTCTGGGCGTGGACCTACTTGAAAAAAAAATTTTTTTTTAATTTCCACAAATACGAGAGAAATATACTTATTAACAGACTGTTTAAAAAAGAAAATATTTCCTTCCTTTGCAAGGGGGGCAAGGCTTTTTTCATTTATAGATACTCAGAGAACTGGCAAAACTAAATACAGAGCATAAGACAAAGAACACAAAGGATTGTATTAATAGTCAAAAAATATAATAAATCAACAGTGTTGGATATGACATAACTGCATTTTCAACTTTATAGTTGAGGGTGGCAAGTGCTTGATTAAACCATTGTCTTGTGATGTTAAGGTATACATACCGGTTTCCCAAGTATTAGAATCTTCAAGAAAAACAGGAACAAAAAAAGACAAAGAGACACCAGGCTCCCAGCCATTTGCCACTTGACAGAGATCAGATAATCAAGGCTTAACCACCCGCTTTTCTTCCACCAATGGAAACAACAACAACAACAACAAAAAAACAAGCTGCTGTGGAGCCAGAACTGTTCAGAAACCAGGTTTAGCATGCAAGAGTCACAAATTTTTTTTTCTTTTTTTAAAGATTTTATTTATTTATTTGAGAGAGAGAGAGAGAATGAGAGACAGAGAGCATGAGAGGGAGGAGGATCAGAGGGAGAAGCAGACTCCCTGCCGAGCAGTGAGCCCAATGCGGGACTCGATCCCGGGACTACAGGATCATGACCTGAGCTGAAGGCAGTCGCTTAACCAACTGAGCCACCCAGGTGCCCAAGAGTCACAAATCTTAATGGCCACCCAAAGAGGCCCCCCAGAGGGGCTGAGGGAAGACAATTCAGAATTCAAGGTGTCCAGAAGAGATGCCACATATAGGCTCCAACAGGGGAACAAAGTGGGCCGATCTCGATGGAGATTCCACAAGTAACTCTCAAGGCATAATTCAGAGACATTTCTCACAGCAGATATTTACTCATATATGCAGGAGACCAAATCAAGCACAGACCATCATAGAACAAAGGTAGGGTAGGGTGTATCAAGGTAAACACCACACAGGAGGTGATACCGTGGGACTTCCCTTTTGCCTTTTGGCAAGCTGACTGCCTGAAAACTACCAAGGAAGATCTAGTTTACACCACAGGAGCAGAAGGGAACTGCAGTGATTTACAGATTTTCAGAGCCACCTTGTGATTTCGGCTATGGAGTGCATACGGTGTGCTCTCCTTCTCTGTTATGGCCACTGGTACGCTTCCCTGGGCATGTCCATCGTGAGCTAGGACTGAATCTCTCAATTATTATTATTTTTAAAGATTTTATTTATTTATTTGATAGACGGGGTGAGAGAGCACAAACAGGGGGAGCAGCAGGAGAGGGAGAAGCAGGCTTCCTGCTGAGCTGGGAGCCCTAAGTGGGCTTGATCCCAGGACCCTGAGATCATGACCTGAGTTGAAGGCAGACCTTGTTAACCGACTGAGCCACCCAGGTACCCCAGGACTGGATCTCTCAATTCCTTACCACGAATCCAGTTGTCTAAGCTAAAAACCTAGCACCCCCAATTTTCTGTTTCACTCCCTCTAATGTGGGAAACAAAGGCAGAAGGAAACATAGGAAATGCCCTTATAACCTGCAGCCCATTGACAAATACTTGAGGCAGGCAGAGTATAACGTTCCTCCAGGAAGCTCCTGACCGTCTTAATGTTAAATCTTTACTACAAGGGAAAACAACCTTAGCTTGACAATAGCAAGGCAGGCAGTACCCCAAGTCTTCTTTAGTATATCAAAGTCCTTTTGAAAACCTCCCTTTTTCCTTACCTCGCCCAGCTCCCAAGTATATAATCATAATCAGCCATTCCTCAGAACCCCAGTGCATCTCTTTCTGCCCACGTCCTGTCCCCGTGCTTTAATAAAATCACCTCTTTGCACCAAAGATGTCTCAAGAATTCTTTCTTGGCCGTGGGCTCTGGACCTCACCAACATTCCAAAACTATATCATCTTCCCAAGTCCCACCAATTCTCCTTCCTTAATACCTCTTAAACCCATTTTCCCTTTCCACCCTCATCATCTGTCCTAGTTCAGGTCCTTATAATCTGCAGTCTCTTAACTGGGCATCCCCATCCATCTGCCACACAGATACCAAAATTATAATAAAACACAGATGTTTGACATTCCTCTGCTTAGCAGCCTGCCTAGACTCCATGTTGCCACTAGAATAAAATTCAAATGCCTTATAAAAATGGCAAACAAGGGACGCCTGGGTGGCTCAGCTGGTTAAGTGTCTGCCTTCGACTCAGGTCCCAATCCCAGGGTCCTGGGATTGAATCCCGCTTAGTCGGGCTCCTTGCTCAGCGGGGAGTCTGCTTCTCCCTCTACCTGCCACTTCCCTTGCTTGTGCTCTCTCTCTCTAACAAATAAATAAATAAAAATCTCAAAAAAAAAAAAAAAAAGGGCAAACAAGGCCATTTGTAGTCTAGTTCCTGTGGACATGGGCAGCTCCATCTCCACCAGCCCTCATCCACCCATCTGCTGGCCCCTGGATGCCATCACCTGAGGTACTCCATCACCTGAGCTACTCCGCATTCCAAAACTTCTCCCTCCACCTGGATGTCTTATTCCTTTTCTGCCAAGGAAAACCTCCACTCAGCCTTCAAGTGTTACCTCTTCTGGGAGACCTGATTTGCCTATCAAAGCAAGTCACTTCCTTATTTGTGTTCCCAAGCTACTTTGTACTTACTTCCATTCCTTTACTTAGCACTTATCACATTGTCTTTAATTACTTGGCTGCTTTCTCACACCCTGAGGCCAGTGGGCAGTGGCTGTCTTCTCTTTGTGTCCTCCAGCACCTATCTTCTGCTTTGGCAGGAAAAAGCCTCTCAGTATGTACTGGGAGAATGAATGTGTCATCTGTCACAGAGACACAGATCAGCCCGTGTTTTTGCAATGCCTTGCATCAGCACCGCAGGTGATAAAGACAGCTTACAGTCTGGTGGAGGTTAAGAGAAGTAAATATGAATAAAACAAGCCATACAGCAATCCAGAAGCCATATGAGAATCAAACCAAATCTTAGGGTGTCAGGGGCGCCTGGGTGGCTCAGTCGTTAAGCGTCTGCCTTCGGCTCAGGTCATGATCCCAGGGTCCTGGGATCGAGCCCCGCATCAGGGAGCCTGCTTCTCCTTCTCCCACTCCCCCTGCTTGTGTTCCCTCTCTGGCTGTGTCTCTCTCTGTCAAATAAATAAATTAAATCTTAAAAAAAAAAAAAAGAAAATCTTAGGGTGTCAGAGGGCAGAAAATGATTCTCAGAGACACGTCTGAAGATTTCTAGTTAGAGGGTGGGCTCAGCTGATGGTGGGGGCGGGGGCAAAGAAGCTGTTTACAATTTGATGCTGGGACAGATTGACTGATTGACATCACTTTCAATGGCAAACTCTGAAATAACTCAGGGGTAGTAGGGATTTTATCAAAGGGTTTCGCTCTCTGGGAATTCCCTTATCTTCCAAAGCCAGCAGAACTGGAGTGCTTCCTTTTGCTGTCAAGGTGACCTTCCTCTTACAGATTTGTGACTCCTGAGCCGGTTCACAATGCAGAGGGAGCTTCCCTGTTGTTACCTGCCACTCCTCGATTTGGGCCTTGGTAGTGGCCACACCTGGAACTTCTGGACCACTGGTCCCCTTGATCTGATATGGCCTTTGCCACACTGGCCTGAGCAGAGGGGAAGCAAAGAAAGCTGCACTTCCAACGGTTGCCCATCCTTTCGTACTCCTGCAATCTACCATCACTAGACTGTCGGGCTGAGACACTTCAAGGTTTGGTAGCAAGAGACTGAATATACCAATGGACAATGGCCAGACCACATATACCAAGAGACCTCTAACCTACACCCTGCAGCAACCAGCCCAGGGAGCTGATCTATTCTCTATGTCAGACTTGTAGAAAGTCAGACCTCTCTCCACCAACCAGTCCAGAAAATCAAGCAAGAACCCCTGGAACAATCAGACCCAAAGGGTCAGCACATTATTAATAACAGCCTCCCTAATTCTTGCCCCTCATTTTTCCAGAGAAAGCAAATATACATTCCTGACCAGTCACATAAAATACCCCACTTCTAGTTAGCCAGCCTACAGCTCACACAAGCCAAGAGCCTCCAACTGGGGCCGGCCACAGCCCTCCCCTCATTCCATGATAAAGCTTTCCCACGCCTCTGCCTGCTTCTGGGTCTCTGCCAAAACGTGTGATGGTGGCTGACTCCTTTGCTATAGCAAGCCCTGAATAAATGATCTCATTTGGTTGGTCTTTGTTGATTTTCACAGCAGAAAAAGTGTCTAAAAACTAGATGCTAACTATTGTTCCTAAAATCAAAAGAGGAAAACGAGGGGCACCTAGGTGGCTCAGTCGGTTAAGCATCTGCCTTTAGCTCGGGTCATGATCTCACGGTCCTGAGATCGAGCCCCACGTCTGGCTCCCTGTTCAGTGGGGTGTCTGCTTCTCCCTTTTTGTGCCCCCCCCACCCATGCTCATTCTCTCTCTCTCTCAAATAAATAAATATTTTTTAAAAATAAAAATAAGTAAATTTTAAAAAGGGGGAAAATGTTAAATGCTGTATAAGAGTCCTCTCATGGGCATAGCGAGCTCTAGCCTCACTTTCGGTTTCTCAAATTGAACCCTCCTCTTCGGTTCTGTAGGCCATCCAGGGAAGCATACACAGACTGGTGTTGCTCTGGAATCTGTACCTTTATCCTGAACATCACAGTGGAACACAGTAAACCACAGCAATCCCTTTCCCTGGGGGTGAGTTTAGAATCTAGTCACCAAAGAGCTCCAATAGAGGAGCCCAGGGTGGGCATTACTCCCGGTCTCTCAGACCCTGTGAGCTCTCCTCCCCAGGGCTAGGTGACATCATGGTGCCTCCTTTCCCCTGGGATCCTCCAGCCCCCCTGTGGGTAACTCTTGGCCAGAAGCCCACATATGCAGCTTGCAGGATAAACACTGCTCAGAGACAGTCCAGTGGGGAATCCATGTCAACAAAGAACACTTTCCTA